TTCCAACACCAACCAGCGTCATTCTAACCACAAATCTATGAATATAACAGCCAAAAGCAACTGAATAGAATTTTGAAGGTTTGAGATACCGGGGCCATTACCCGGCTTTGGCGAAACAAAAACAGTCAGCCCTCCTCCCATTTCCTTTCACCCCCTACTCTTCTTCATCTCCCGACGAGCCGACCTCCTTCACCACATAGTTCGGGACAGAAACCTCACAAAAATCCCATAGTGATGAAAAGCAGACTTCAATTCTTCCTCTTCCTACGACAGGCCGACCTCCTCCACGACATAGTTCGAAGGAGGAGGAAGAAGTAGTTCACTCCATCGCAAAACAGGCGCAACACCCTAACCTCCCATCCCCTTACCACCTTTCGGCGCAAACTTATAACAGTTAAGCCACCATCTCAACTGCAGTTGTGCCCTAATCCAATCCCGCCAGCTAGCACTCCTCACCACCAGGACGCAATTTTACCAATAAAAAAAAAACTTCCCCCCTCCACTTCAGTCCCACGCCCGCTCCATAGGCAGGTAAAAGACAATTGATCCCCACTCTTCCTAGACCCCCTTATTCAATTGCATCCCGCGACAAGCCGACCTCCTCCACCTATAGTTCGCGAGATGAAGAAAGTGAAAGCAGATAACCCTCGACTTCCTCTTGACACAAGCTGACCTCCTCCACCACATTGTTCGCAAAATAAAAACGAAAGTATCCACCATCTGAAACTTGTCAGCCCTACCCTCAGATACTGATCAAAACCTTCACCTACCTGCCCCAAACCAAAACTAACTCATGAGGGAAGGTAAACTTTATGCAATCCGAATTTAAAACTGAGTTAGAGTCACTAGTATTGAGAATCAAGTTCTAGAGATTATAATGCGAAGTCTGATTTATGGGTATCAGTATCAAGAGACTGAAGAATATAAAAAACAGAATACGAAGTATTTCGATTTTCAAAATAAGGAAACAATTTCCAAATTAAGAGTTAGACATATGCGATGACTTTTATATTTGGGTATCCAAAGGGAATTTTGAATCTGATTCCCAAACCATTGTTTGAGAATCGTGGAATAACCCAGTTAGGGTGATGGATTTAGTTAGGTGATGTAATTAAGAAAACACACTCGAATTTATGGTTGATATATGATTGATATCAGGGGTAGGAAATCAAAGCACGGATTTCAGACGTATTGGAATTAAATTCCGATTTCCGAAATCAAGAATAAGGAGTGATCCAGAAAATGGTTACGAGGATCAAATTTAAAAACTTATATAGAAGATCAAACAAGGATTTTACATGCAACCACGATTAGACATCTGAGGCACGAACAAGAGAAATCAGGGGAGGGAGGGTAAGGAGAAAGTCGTAAGGGAACGTCCCTCTCCCCATGGATAGGATTCTAGTACTACATGCGACCTTTGACGATGAAGGTTGTGTGTCTCAACCCACAAACCATGAATACGAAGTCCAACTTGAACGGTAAGATACTGCATGCTGCTCGTCTTCATTCCTTTCACCGCCTATCTCCTTCAAAAGCCCTCCACAATCCTCATCGTCCTCTTATCACAAGATGTTCTATCATATCGTCATGAAGAATCCAGAGGTCCCATGTAGAACACACTACAAAACGATACTGTTTCACTTGAGTAACTGTGCGGCGTGGAACTTTAGGTCTACCATATCGAAAAAGCTTCCTCAACTCCCTCCTCAACCCTCCTTCCTACACCCGAACCTAACCTCACCACCCTCGAGAGAGAGACACCAGACTCTCCCCATCTGCTAGCCACGAAGGCAGCAACTGGCCCTCACTCCAAGACGTCAAGGCCAGCAGCGTGAAGGCCCTTATGGCCATCCATGACAAAACGAAGCAATGAATGGTATGGCCACACCTCGTCGAACCCGCCGGCGAGTCACCATAGGGAGTTCAGGTCTTCGGAAGAAATGCCCGTCGGCAGCATAAAGCAGCACGTTTAAGAGGTGGGGAGGAAAACCGAATTACCCCGCCACAATCCTCACACTCCACCATCACCGCCTTCCTTATGGCTCTCTTGCTCCGCCTCACGACCTTCGGCACACCTGTTCTCTGCTGGGACGGCAGCCACACGGCCTCCAAGGCTCCTCCAACTCGGTCGCCGCCAGGTTCCACTTTACACCGAGGGGTGTGTGTCCAGGTTCCAAGTGTCGCAGTTCTGGTGATGCTCGCCCTTGCCAAAATCCAGGGTGAGCATTGATGGCAAACACCATTGATAGCGGGAGCGGTGGGGCAAAGCTACCATCATGGTAACAACGGGGCAAGCGTAGTGGACTACGCCACCGTAGCCAAAGCTCGGTGAGCCGCGTTTACCGCAGTAACTCGCACTACGGTAGCGCGAGGACTGCTCAATGGGCCGGCCGCACCAGGAGAGCCGGTTTCGGCCGACGGGCGCAGGCCACGAGCACTAACCAGCACAATTGGCGGCACCGTCCAGGCCACGAGCGCTAACCAGCACCATTGGCGGCACCGCCCCGTATCCTTCCGTCCGTCTTCCCCTCACTAATTTTGAACGTCTGCCTTACTCATGTTTTTTTTTTTTTTTTTTTTTTTTTTTTTTTTTTTTTTTTTTTGACAAGGCCCCATCTATTTGGACCATTTCTCGATTTATGCGTGTTCGCAGCCCTTAGGCTGGTATAGTGTGCTTCCGCGTCTGTGTCAAGGTGTCGCATTTTCGGTGGCGGGCGACCAGGACGCAAAGTGGGTTCTTAAGGGACAAATGTTTTTTGGGAACCGGTCCTTGGCAAAATTGCGGACTACCTACAGCTAGCTCTTCTAGAACCGGGACTTTTGGAAAAAGGAAGGACTGGTCCTCGGGTGGAAGTGGACCCCAAAAAGAAGTGGGGGGCGTTGCACCGGTCCCCGGGTGGAAGCGGACCCCAAAAAGAAGTGCGGGCATATGAACTGCAAAAGGGCCCTCATGCCCAGGCATTGAGCCCCGTCTTCTCAAAACAGGGAGGTCAGGCACAACGAAATAGGCGGTTTGCAAGAGGCAACTTTGGCGATTTTCTGTGCTCGGAGGAACATGCACAAAAATCTRAAATTTTGAGAATCCATAGATGAGGTCGTGTTCTTTCCAGAAATAATAATAGAACATTTACAAAAAATCATTTACACTACGAAATACTCGCCGCGCCGATTCGGCACATTTTCCATTTTTGCCACTCAGCCATGCCTGGGCCAACTAAAAAAGTACTCCAAATTCAGTGAGCTTTCACGCTCAGAAGAATGCGTGAAAAAACCTGGAAATCGGAGTACTCATAGATTTTGTTGTGATCTTTCCAGGAAAAATGCTAAATAAATTTAAAAAATCATTCCAACTGCAAAATAAATCGTGGCCGCAATTTGACCCATATTTCAATTTTGCCATTTAGTCTCTCTCTCTCTCTCTCTCTCTCTCTCTCTCTCTCTCTCTCTCTCTCTCTCTCTCTTGTGTTAGCTCTTAGTCTCATTGATTTGGCTACCTTAGGGCTGTGTTCCCCGCACGCCGTAGACGATCATCCTTGCGCAGGGGCCATGCTAATCTTCTCTGTATCATTCCAATTTTAACAGATGTCCCGAAGGACGGCCCCATCTATTCTTGGGGGCATGCTTTTCTCGGGGAGTCGTCGAAAAACAAACATGACAACAAACACACGCTCGCACACACACACATCTCCCACAGCTGCCACACCGTGTCCCACGGACATCTGACATGGGTGAGCGGGAAAAATCGCCGACGTTGGCGCATGTTTTTTTTCCCTTGAATTGCTGCCAGCCTCCGCCTCCCTCGGGCCTGCCGTTTCCCAGCTACCTCGGGTAATGACCGCGGGCGACTCATGGGTAAAGCCTCTGCATCCCTGACATTTCTGGAAGATTGCCTGCGTCCTCCTTCCTTGACGAGTCTCCGCAAAATTGGCCGTGCAGTCCGCTGCGATGCTGCCAGTCCTATAGACCGGATCCAATAGGCGATCCCCTTTGGATCGCCTCCTATGGAATGCCGCTGCAAAGCCGGGGCAAGGTCCCACTTGGGCAAATTTCGGCCGTTGATCTTTTTGATATCTACGGTCAGTATCTCTTAATTCGTGCAAGTAAGACGGGCACGGGAATGGGCCATAGGTGAAGGTGTTCTTTCTTTCCTTTGTGTTTGCAGTATTCGATTCCAAAGCGAGATGGTGGACATAGACACAGCAGTTACTCGATGGGGGAGGGGGAAATAGATGGGAGGCGCAGCTACTGGCCATTGCCGATTAGGCCAGGGGGGGGGGGGCAACATGCAAGCCCTTGATTGTGGGGGTAGATATGCTTGCAGGGGTCCCCCTTTATACACCCTTAGGAGTAGTGGTAGGTAGTGAAAGTGAAAGGTAAAATTGAGACAAGAATATAGCTTAGCATTTCCCTTTTTTTTAATTTAAAAAAAAAGAACGGCCAGCGGTCCCGAAAGGGCCGACATGGAATGTTCCATTTCAGGAAAACCCGACGGTCGTCAAAAGACGACATCAGTCGGGATCGCGGTGCTTGCATGGCAATCAACGCTCGAAAGACGGACTGGCAGGAGAGGAGAGAGGAGAGGAGAGGGACGGCAAGGGCAGGTGTGGTTTGCATTGAGAGAAGATAAGGGCAGATATACAAGATATATGTCTATACATAAAAATGCAAATGTGTAGAGGTAGATACTAGGACTTTTGGGAGTGACTTGGCCGTGGTTGCCATCATATGCAGAGATGCAGAAAGGGGGGAGAAGCAGATGAGGGAGGGGGGAGATCAGATCGACCCCAGACAAGCTGTAGCAGCACGGGCTCTTGGTGAGAGAGAGAGAGAGAGAGAGAGAGAGAGAGAGAGAGAGAGTACAGTGATGGAAGACGAAGGAGGCTGGTGATTGCTGCCTGGTGTGCAGATGGATTAGGACATCATAGGGATAGGATCTTTTTTGTTCTTTTGTTTAGGCGATAGGGTCATTATCTGCGGCTTTGTTCGCTCGATCTCGGTGTATATGTGGGTGGCCTGATCGAGCGGTTTCTAATCACGTGGGGGGGTAGAGCGGTGGGGGGGCTCGAAAGAAAGGGCCAGGAGCGCTCGTCTGCTACGTTATATAGTCTGAATGAGTTGTCACTGTACCAAGTCATGATCTCGGTATTTGGGTCGATGCTTGCATCGTCAGGTGGTAAGGAGATGGAGCCGTTAGATCACGCGGCGGGGGATGAACGGCAGCAGAACATCGACGGTCCGGCAGATGAGGGGGAGGAGGGGGAGGAGGGGGAGGAGGGCAAAGGTGAGGAGCAAGAAATCCCACCGCAGATCGTTTAGCTTTAATTGTCTTGCTGTTCTTGTGCCTCCTCCTGCTTCTCTTCCTCCTCCTCCTCCTCCTCCTCCTCCTCCTCCTTCGTCGTTATCTCGATTATTGTTTCTATTTTTGTTGATTTCTGTACTTGGGCGTTTATACGTATGCGTACGGTTTTGTCTTTCCTAAAGTCTAAAAATGTCAGAATTTTTGTATTTATAGTAATAAAATTAAATAGTAATTGAATTGAATTGATACTGTATGTCGCAACAGCGTCGTGCGATGTTGGGAATGACGACAACAATTAAAAGTATGAAATTAATTTGATATCGATATTAGTATTATCAAATTAATTCTATTTAGAAAGTTGATCTGAGAGCTGACTCGTTTATGCATTGAACCTGGCCGTCGTATTGCTGTTAGGAATATATTTTTTGCGTCCGAGTGATCGTGTTCTTTTTTTTTTTTTTCTAATAATATACTCCATCGGCGATGGGTGCATTGAACCTGGCCGTTGTAGTATTGCCGTTGGGAATATTTTCCCCACTTGCCTCTCCGTTGACGCGTTGCTGATAGTATGCACCCATCGCGATAATGTAGACGTCAACAGTTTTGACCATGATTGCGCAGAGGAAGATTAGTAAAAGTGATAACGACGACGAGCAACGGCCAATTTGCTCTCCAACATGTCTTCTTCAATCACTAAACATATTGCAAACACAAACATACACAAGTTGTAGATGGGGCAGAGGAACGACGAAATTGCTCTCGGCATTGTTTAATTAATGAAGAAATGTTTGAGAACAACGTGGCCATTGCTTCTCACTATAACAAATAAGGCCGCGAACAACGTGGTGAAAAAAAAGTGTCATCATCATTTATCATCGTCATCATCGTCATTATCATAATCATCATCATCGTCATCGTCATCATCATCATCGTCATTATCATAATCATCATTCAAGAAGCACCGTCCATGCTGATCTACGATGTCCTATCGTTGGTCATCTACTATCATATATCAGGATCGATTATATATAATCGACGATGGATCGATCGATCGATTGGTCATCTACTATCATACATCATCATCGATTATTTATAATCAACGATGGATCGATCGATCGATCGATTGGTCATCTACT